ATCTTTGAGTTCATCTCATGAAAAATGGGAGCAAAAACAGAAGTGTTGCATTTATATTTTTGTTCAGTGTATGTGTAAAACAGTATTGGACATGTCTAGTGACCGGAGGAAGGTGCTGTTTTCGCAGGAAGCCTGCACATGAATAAGGAACTGGAGTTGTGGTGCTGTGTAATCTGTGGTGTCAGTCCCGAGGGGGGTCCTGTTGACAGTCCATCTGATCCACACACTGCTGGACCCTCTCCCTCTGCTCTCACTGATGCTGGCAGCTCAGCCTGCGTGACCCTCCCCACTTCCTGTTCCCCTCCTGTGGCCCCTCCCTCTCCTGTGGCCCCTCCCCCAGACCCCTCCCCCAGCGGGGCCTCCAGCAGGTTCTGGAGGAGCTGTAATGCTGCCGGCTGCACGAAGAACATCTTCAGAGGTTTCTATAAGGAGATGAGCGACCTCTCCGACAGGATTCAGGCAGAGCAGGCCAGCCAGGAGGGTTAGAGACACGGACACTCTGCAGGCGTTGTTTATGTCTCAAACACTTTTATTAAGATGTCTCTCTTCTTCCTACAGATTATGATCTGGCGTTAACAGTGATGAGGGCTTCTGGGAAACTGTTAGAGCTTGTGGGCAATCAGCAGGAAGGTGAAGTACTAACCTTACTTTAAAATACTATACTATGTATTTTTTTAACATTCTATACTTTTCTTCCGGTATTTTAGACATACACATATTACTTTTTAGACAAACTTTATTTATGCTACGTTTTTTCATACATTTTTAACATGCTATACTATGACATTCTTTTAAATACTACACTATGACTGTTTTAACTTTATCTTTTTCTACATACTTTACTTTTGCGTTTTTTTTCATACATTTTTTGGAAATAGTGTACTATGACTTTTTGTGCCGTTTTTCCCGATATTTCCCACATAGTATATTATAACATTTCCTTCAACATACCATACTATAACTTTTTTTTAAATATTTTCGTCATACCATGCTATGATTTCTTTTGACATTACACTACACTGGGCTTTTTTCCAACATACTAGACTATGACCTCTAATTTCTTGTAGACAGCTGTGTGAGAGGAAATGAAGAGAGAATAGATGCACACTGCTTATTTACAAATAACTTAATTGAAAATATACTGTCTAGACCCTTAGACATCCCGTAAAGCAGAGGGACAATAATCACAGTTATAGACCTCCCCATGAGACGGACCACGAGCTGTCTGTCAGTCATTCAGTCTGTAAGAAGGCACTTCCCAAGGACTTTCTGATGGCGTACGTAGATCACCTTTTTATGTGGCATAATATGAAAAGATTACATTTTTACATTTTTCCAGAGTTACAACGGAAGCAAAGGGAGCTTCAGGAGGCAGCGGAAGCGATGGAGGAGGCCGTCTCAGCGCTGAAGAGAGATGAGAAGCAGCTGTCACAGTCACACCCACATCACAGTTAACTGTAGACAATGGTAAAGGGCTGGATGTGGAACTACAAAACTGCATCAATATAAGCATCGATAAATTCACAAAATAGTAACAAATTCGACCCAAATACATTTTTATTGATCCAAATAATGGGTTTCATTTTAAAACCTTTTATTAAAATGGAAAGAGAAATTATCTTAAAGAAGTTCCACATCCAACACGAGCAACTGACCCAAGTTTTGAAGAGTTTTTAAATTTTAAAAATAACTATTTTGCAAAGAAATGTGCATTTAAGTTTGATCCTTTTTATGACGTGAAGCTGACATATATTAGACATACGATATTATACACGTGTGCAATGTTTAAAATGTTTATTATACCGTATGTGAATGTCCGATGTTGTTCAATTTTAATAAAAAGTTGCTTCTCAAAAGGTGCAAGAAGAAGAGAAGTAGTCCAAAGATGTTTTTTATATAACTGTGTGTAAGTTTTTGAGTTTTTACCTCTAATAATGTCATTGCTGTGAAAAGGATGGATGCATTTATTTTAGTATAGATATTGTTCAAATTGGTACTCAAACACAGAAGAGCTGAAATAGTTCTACAGTTAGAGGTTGAGTATTTGTGGAGTCAGACATGTTTACATTATTGATGTTCAATCAGTCGTCTTGTTCAGGGTTACATTCATCAACTGTTGCAGAGTAAAGCTGATCGTCTTCATGACACGTGTTGAGTATTTCTTTTTTAAACCCTTTGAGAAAGTTTGCTCAAGTCAAACATTATAAGTTAAATAACTCATGACCCGAGTAGAGACGTTTCTTTCTGATATTAATCGACATACTACACCAAGACTTTTTCTGATCATATCATTCAACATACTAAACTATCATGTTTAAGAAAAAAATATTTTTGACGTATTTTCTACATACTATACTATGAATTTATTTTGACATCCTATATTATGAGCTTTTATACTACCCTATGACTGAAGTGATGGCAGTAATGAGGGCTTCTGGGAAACTTGAGGCCGGGCAGCAGGATGTAAACTCTTGTGTGGCTCAGGGAGGAAGGTTTTGGTTGCTACCTTGAGTGCACCCTATATATATATATATATATATATATATATATGTATATATACAGTCTATGGTGCACACTTAATAAATGTAAAACAAATACAACATATTGATAACTTTTCAACATGTTTTTTATGATATTTTCAACATTAAGTAAATTGTTCCATTGTTAACTTTTCTTACAGTTATTGATTAAATATTGCCCTTTAGTTTAAAACAAAAAACTCACTGTACTGGATCTTTCTGTGAAGATAGTTGCATCTCTGGTTTGTCAATAATATAATAATAATAGATTTATTAAGCGCTTTTACAGGTGCTCAAAGCAAAAAAATTAGACCGTTTTTTTTGTCATTCATCATCCTCGAAATCGACCAATAACGTTAGCAATGTTGACATGCAGCGGCAGCCGGAGGCTAACGATAGCTCACCTGCCTCACCACCATCATTGCCATCTAGCCCCACAAGTGAAGCTGTATCCGTGGCCGTGGCAGTGCAACCTTCTTCTCCAGCCAGCCAGGAGGAGAGGCTGGATTTGGCTGTTCTCGGCAGTGGTCCAACAGTTCCCTCAAGGGTCCCAACCAATAGAGGACTCTATGGCGCTATTGAGACCCCCGACGCCAAGATCAAAAGCTATATTATAGCAACCAGTCCATGTAGGCCTACCGGCCCATTCCCTAGAGACAAACATCAAGGAAACAGGTGTAATCCTCTTCTTAGTTCGCTGTGCCGTTGTCAGGATGTGGTGGTTTGACGCCAGGGCAGGCTGTTGTTGATAGCCTACATGTGGCACTTCTGAGTGGTTGTGTATGTCCGTGCGTGTGTGAGCGCATCAGTGTGCGCTTAAGTTTGGGGCGATGGAACAATATTTGCACCGGGGCCAATCATAACCTTGTTACGCCACTGAACCCAACATTCTAGAAGTGTAACTTTACTTTCTAGAAGTGTACATCAACATTCTTGAACATTAACTTGACTTTCTAAAGGTGCAAATCNTAGGGGACTCTATGGCGCTATTGAGACCTCCGACGCCAAGATCAAAAGCTATATTATAGCAACCAGTCCATGTGGGCCTACCGGCCCATTCCCCAGAGACAAACATCAAGGAAACAAGTGTAATCGCTTCTGAGTGGTTGTGTATGTCCGTGCGTGTGTGAGCGCATCAGTGTGCGCTTATGTTTGGGGGGGTGGGGGGATTGCCCAAAACAATATTTGCACCGGGGCCAATCATAACCTTGTTACGGCACTGGATGCTATATTGTACATTAAGTATGGTGCGTCACTACTTTCATCATCATTGTCTCTTGGACTTCCTTTCAGTCTTTTATTTTCATACAAAACATACAAAAAGCATGTTGAATGTCACGTTTTCTTATAAAATAAACTACCCAACAGTAAATACTAGCAGCACTAAAACTATTAGTCGATTTATCAATTAGTGGATTGACTGTAATTGATTTATTAGATACTATTTTGATCATTGTCAAGTCACTCTAAATGTAAATATGAAAANAGTAGGCCCACACAAACTTCAGAACACCGGGTTTGGGAACACTCAAAATTACTTGAAATGATTTAATTCCCATTTAACCTGTTATGGGGCTTTTTCCCCCCGTTTTTTTCTTCACGAAACTGTGTCTCAGGGCTTCTTAAAAACTAATAAACTATTCATGTGTCCTGCTCATTCAACAGGAAGAGACTCAGCTAACTGATGATATGAACCATGTTTACCGAAACAAAACACAAGTCTCACAAGAAGTTTTAGTTTGAAAAGTGTTCACCCCCCGTCTTGTCTGTTGCTTCCTGTCTCTGTGTTCCCTCCTGCCTGATTACCCGATTGTGTTCACCTTGTGCCCCTGTGTTTTCTGTGTCTTGTTTGTTTGATTAGTCCTGTGTGCATTTAGGTTCTGCTTTTTCTGTTAGTCTTTGTGAGATTCTTGACGTTGTTGGAAGGGTTTAGGTTCTGAGCGACTTTATGTTTTGTCTTGCCTTGCCTATTATTGACTTTGTTTGCCTGGCCTACACCTCCGGGGCTGTCCCGTCGCCGCCTTCCTGCCCATCCTCCTGAGCTGTCCCGTCGCCGCCTTCTTGACCGTCCTCCGGGGCCGTCCCGTTGCCACCTTCCTGCCCGTCTTCCGGAGTTGTCCCGTCTTCGCCTTCCTGGCCCTCATCCGGAGCTGTCCCATCGCCGCCTTCCTGCCCGTCCTCCGGAGTTGTCCCGTCACTGCCTTCCTGCCTGTTCTTCGGAGATGTCCCGTCAATGCCTTCCTGCCTGTCCTTGTGCCCGGCCCCCTAAGTTCCCCTGCCGCGGCCTTCGCCCTCTAGCCCGGGCCCCTGACTTTCCCGGCCAGTGCCTTGGCCCTCGAGCCCGGCCCCCTAAGTTACCCCATCGAGGCCTTCACCCCTGTCTTCGGCCCCCTGAGTTTCCACTGCCGCGGACTTCCCTGCCCTTTTGCCTTGCCCCCGGGCCGTCCGCCTGAGTCCCCATTCTCAGCCTCTGCTTTGCCCCCGGGCTGTCCGCCCGAGTCCCCCTTCTCGGCCTCTGCTTTGCCCCCAAGCTGTCCGCCCGAAAACGACTTAGTAAGTCTTTAAGAACAGTGAAATCCTCTGTACTGTATGTTGTATTACAACACTTTTATATGGTGGAGTAATTGATGCTTCAAACAAGACTTTGGGTGTTGTTTTTTGTTTGGAGAGATCAAACAGCAGCCCCCAGGATATTTTGTGGCCCATCTCTGTCCTGTTCAATTTTGATTTGTGGTTCAAAATGATGAAAGTATAGGCTGGTGATCAGTATTCACATTATAACCTTGTCAGACAACGTCTCAGTGATTGCACTCCAAACTGAGGAAGACATCAGCCGAGATCTAAAGAAGAAAGTTTTCTTCATCTCTAAGTTTTCCTATCAAACCACCATCTGGAGAACACATGGATTGGTGTGGATACACAGGGAGATGGAAGAAGGAGAACATGAGTTTCATGTTTTCTAAAAGCATTTTGTTTAGCTTTATTTTCTTTCCTCTTTACTGAATCCATGATTTAATTTGTTATCTCCTCATCTTCATCATCACCCTAATTTCTTGAATAGATTTTTTAGGATCAAAAACACATAGAATTTGCATAATTGGAATTTGAGCAATTAGGCCCATAACATTTGCAAAGTCATACAGTACATACAGACAAAGACATACAGTACTGACCCAAGAATTCAAACAACTGAAAAATGTTCACTGGAATAAATGGGGTACCATTTTGGAAACACACTGTAGTTCTCTTTATTTATCAATTTCAAGAGCTGTAACACGTACCAATCAATCAAGAGGATTCCACAACATGTGCAATATACAGGCCCTGATCAAACAATTGTCACTAATCTCTATCATTTCCTTGCAATCAGTGATGTCAGACAACATTCTTTCAATCAGGAGAGACGGTTTTGATGTAAGAATACGTATTTATTGCAGAGATACACAAATTAATGTAATGGTGATTTTGGCGATTAGGCCCTGCATGAGCGTATTATGCTTTGCAGCGATTATATGTCATTGTTTCATGCGTCATAGTATGCTGCATCTCATGTTATCTCTCAGTTAGGGTCCTGGTTGTATGAAACTTCAATAGTAAAGAAATGATAATACTTTAAGATTAGATTAGATTACTTTATTGTTATTACAAAAATGCAAGCACAGTGCAACGAAATTAAGGAGGGTCTGACCAGAGTGCAAAACAGTCAGCCATATACACAATTATCAGAAGTATGTACAAAATAAATGATACGAAAATAAAGGTAAATAGACGGGAAATGTATAAATAAGAATAATTACACAGATAAGAATAAATACAGTGAATACAGAATTGCGCTTCAGCACAGCACACGTCAACAACTAGGCAGTATGGGACAGCGTGGGGTTCATTGTCAGCAGTCTGACTGCTGAAGGGAAGAAGCTGTGCGTAGTCCTGTTTGTTCTACCCGGGAGGCTGCGGTAGCGTGTCCCAGAGCGGGTGCCACGTAGGGGGATAAACAGTGTATGGTTGGGGTGGGAAGAGTCTCTGATGATGTTTCGTGCCCTTCGCAGGCAGCGCTTTTCATAGACTGAGGCTATGGAGGGGAGTGGCATCTTGATGATGCGTTGTGCGATCTTCACCACCCTCTGCAGTGATTTCTTGTCCAGTTACCGTACCATACTGATATGCAGGTGGAGAGGATGCTCTCGATGGTGCAACGGTAGAAGTTCATTAGCACCTGGGAGGATAGGCGGAGTTTTGCCAGTTTCCTCAGGAAGAAGATTCGCTTGTGAGCCTTCTTGACTAGGGCTGAGGTGTTGGTGGTTCAGGAGAGGTCCTCCGAGATGTGGACTCCCCGGAACTTGAAGCTTCTGACCCGCTCAACCTCTTCTCCACTAAGATGGACTGGGGAGTGTGTGCCGTCTTTGTTCCTTCTGAAGTCCACAATGACCTCTTTCGTCTTCTTGGTGTTGAGAGCCAGGTTGTTGTTAGCGCACCACTCTGCCAGATGCTCAACCTCTTCCCTGTATGCCGTCTCGTCATTGTTGCTGACAAGCCCGACCACTTGTCGTCTGCAAACTTAACAATGGTGTTTGAGCCATGTACAGGTTTGCAGTCATGTGTGAAGAGGGAACATAGGAGGGG